GCTGCATTCTGGATGAGCTGCAGAGGTCGGATGGCACATGCAGGTAGACCAGCCAGGAGGGAGTTGCAGTAAGTCTAGGCGTGAGATGACGAGAGCCTGGACCAGAACCTGAGTCGCTTTCTGAGTCAGCTGGGGACGTATCTTCCTGATGTTGTAAAGCGTGTATCTGCAGCAACGGGTTGTAGCAGCGATGTTTGCAGTGAAGGACAGGCTGTTATCTAGGGTCACACCCAGATTCCTTGCAGTCTGAGTCGGGGAAACAACTGAGGTGCCGATGTTGATTGTCAGGTCAAGAGTTGGACAATCTTTTCCCGGGAGGAAGAGCAGCTCAGTCTTGTCAAGGTTGAGCTTCAGGTGGTGAGCAGACATCCACTGAGAGATGTCAGCTAGACAAGCAGAGATGCGTGCGACGACCTGGGTCTCTGAGTGGGGAAAGGACAGAATTAATTGGGTGTCGTCAGCGTAGCAGTGGTAAGAAAAACCATGCGGGCTAATGACTGATCCGAGCGAGTTTGTGTACAGGGAGAAGAGGAGGGGACCAAGAACAGAGCCCTGAGGGACCCCCGTAGTTAATTGACAAGGGTCGGACTCAGACCCTCTCCAAGTCACCCTGTAGGTACGGTCTTTCAGGTATGAGGTGAGGAGGGAAAGTGCAGAGCCTGAAACTCCAAGTTTTTGGAGAGTGCGAAGGAGGATCTGATGATTCACCGTGTCGAATGCAGCAGACAGGTCCAACAGGATGATGACAGAGGAGAGGGATGCAGTTTTGGCAGTGTGCAGTTCCTCCGTGACAGCAATGAGAGCAGTTTCTGTGGAGTGACCTGCCTTGAAACCAGACTGGTGCGGATCCAGAAGGTTGTTCTGATTGAGATAACAGGAGAGTTGTTTAAAGACAGCGCGTTCAAGTGATTTAGACAGGAACGGGAGGAGAGAGACAGGCCTGTAGTTTATAACATCAGACGGGTTGAGAGTGGGTTTCTTTAGGAGAGGGTTTACTCTTGCCTCCTTGAGACTGTTTGGAAAGTGACCAGAAGTTAGAGAAGTGTTGATGAAATGGGTGAGAAACGGTAGAATATCAGGAGCGATAGTCTGAAGGAGGTTTGAAGGGATAGGGTCCAGAGGACAGGTGGTAGGGCGGGCAGAGGTAATGAGGGTAAGAACCTCACTTGGAGAGAGAGGGAAAAGGAGGTTAGTGTGTTGGTGGAAGGAAGGTCTGGTGACCCAGCGGTGAGTAAAGGTGAGTCAGAAAAAGAAGAGCGAATATCATCAACCTTTTTTTCAAGTGGGTAACAAAGTCGCTTGACAGAAGTGAGGAGGGGGGAGGAGCTTTTGGAGGGTCCAAGAGGGTGGAGAAGATGGAAAATAGTTTTTTAGGATTGGAATAGGAAGATTGGATCTTATCTTGAAAGAAAGTGCTTTTTGCCCGAGAGATCGAAGCAGAGAAAGATGAGAGGAGAGCTTGATAGGTTAGGAGGTCGTCACGCTGTTTGGATTTCCACCATTTCCGCTCTGCTGCCCTAAGGACGGTTCTATTAGCACGCAGTGCATCATTTAGCCAGGGAGCAGGAGGGGACTGACGAGCCTGCCGAGATGTGAGAGGACAGAGCGAGTCCAGAGTGGATGAGAGAGTAGAGAGGAGAGTTTCTGCAGCAGAGTTTGGAGGCAGTAGTTGGAACGAATCAGAGGAAGGGAGGGCTGAGAGCACCGACGAGGCAAAGGTAGAGGGGGAGAGGGAGCGAAGGTTACGGCGGACAAGTGTAGGATGGGAAGAGATTAGTTTGTTATGTTTGGAAAGGGATAGAGAGAATGAAATGAAGAAGTGATCGGATGTGTGGAGCGGGTTTACAGAGAGGTTAGAAGTAGCGCAGTTCCTTGAGAATATGAGATCAAGGACATTGCCAGCTTTATGAGTCGGTGGGGACGGAGACAGTGAGAAAGCAAAGGCGGTTAACAGAGATGTTAGTTCGTCTATCTTCCCCATCTGGAGGTTGAAGTCTCCGAGAAGTACAGCGGGAGGGCCAGTTTCAGGGATGTGTGAGAGGAGATGATCTAATTCCTCCAAGAAGTCCCCCAAGGCGCCTGGCGGACGGTAGAGAACAACAATGGTTAACTGTATAGGATGGGTTACTGTGACGGCATGGAACTCAAAGGTGGAAGGAGTGAAGTTAGGTAGCTTGAAGAGGGAAAAGCTCCATTTGGGAGAGAGCAGGAGACCAGTGCCACCTCCTCTGCCAGTGGGTCTGGGTGTATGGGAGAAGGAATATGCAGTGGAGAGAGCTGCTGGGGTGGATGTGTTGGATGGAGTAATCCAGGTCTCAGTGAGAGCAAGGAAATCCAGAGACTGCAGGGAGGTGTAGCCAGAGATGAAGTCAGCCTTGGGAACAGCTGACTGGCAGTTCCACAGGCCACCTGAAACTAGATGTTGGATCTCAGTGGAGCACGTGGGATAGACGAGAGCAGGCCGGTTATATCGATTAGGAGATACACGGGGCCAGTGATAATTGCGAGAAGACACATGAACAGGAATGGAGAAAATACACATGATTATAGCATGAGGGGCTAAACAACAAAATGAAAAAATAAAAACACCTGCATCTATAATAAAAAGCGTGAGTCGGCATACACTCAGGCTGTTAATGAGTTAAGTTGCAATGAGCAGGCCTCTATGAATGTTTGACCTGCACTCACACATATTTCACTCATTGTGTGACTTTGAAATCACAGAGAATAATTAAAGGGGAAGTATGCCGATTTCACACATCAAAGTCTGTTTACAGGGGTGTACTGCTGCATCTGTGGAAAAAAAAGTTGTATAAAGCCTTTTGTGTCTCTAAAAGGGCGGTGTGTGAAATCTGATGAATTGCTGAATGTCACTTGAGACTTGAGTTTCAGATAAAGCGTGCTGACTACACGTTTAAGAATTAAAAAAAGTGTCTGGAGTCATGAAATTGGGAAGAAGTGAGTTTAACAATCTCTGTAGCCCGCTCGCATCTGTCATATTTTTGTCGCAGAAGCCATTATTTAACAGTTATGTGCTGTACTTTTCATGAAAGGTTTACTGATCATCATGTGTAAAATCACTGGAATTTGCCTTTAAGAGACTTCCAGCAACCCTGCACAGAAAATATTCTACATTAATCTTACATTAGTCCAGCTCTATTATTTGTTAACTTAAAGAAACCTAGAATACGCTGCCTTCTGTGTCCCTGAATGCAACTATATATATATATATATATATATATATATAAGGCTTGTGTTTGTTCACTTTGCTGCTCCTCTATCAGTAAAGCTGCACTCTTCTTTATCCATCCCTAAAAAACTCTGTCATGAATGTATGTTCATGTGTGTACATTTACTATTTAATGTAGGCCTATACCCTGAGAGCAGAGTGCACTTACACACTCCCTTCCATCTGTGGCCTCAAGTAACACTTCACTGAGCTTCAGTTTCCTTACAACTCTTTTCTTCTTTTCATCTCTAACCTGTTCTCTCATACTTTCCCAAGCCTCACAAAGACACCATTTATTTATTTTCTCTTCCCACCTGGGCCTGTTAATGGGTGAAGGTGTGGCGTTAAGCGTCACTGTGTGAACTCTCATCAGCACGAGCGCGCAGCTGTGCAGAGTTACTGCAGTCAGTGTGAGAGCCGCTCTGCCAGCATGAAGAAAGTTTACAGCCTAGTGAACATAACTAAAGCCAAGGACCAGGAGGCCGTGCAGTCCATCTGCATCAAGGTATCACTGCTTTTGTTTCAGAAGCTCTGTTTCTCTTTGTTTTTCCTTTTAGAGGGCAGCGAGCCAGGTCTGCATTTTGAATTACCATTAGGTTGTTTTAAATGTGAGCAGTTAAATAAACATTTAGAAAAATAAACCTTTATATCAATTTTTAATCACGACAGCCCATTTCCTTTGGTTTTATTGACTGTTACTCACAAAAAAATGGTTCCAAAAAATGTAGGCTTTTCAGGTAACACATAAATGCATAATTGGTTTCCCACAGGGGTTTATTTACACAACTCCACCTTGATTAAAAGTTTGTAAGCTTTTATTGTGCCTTATTTCGTTGAACGTCAACAGTAGGATGGAGCGCTTTAGCTAAACTTTCCCACTTTCACAGCTTAATGTCTTTTATGTTAAGGATTAAGCAGCTGCTTGAGGGAGTAGCACACAGTATTCAAGAGATTGTTTTTAAGTGAGCAGTACTGAGAACAAAAATAAAGTTACACCTCTCAGACCAGTCCATTGATGAACATGACAAATGTGTTTTTACTTTTGGTGTGGTATTTTATTGATTCTTCTGAAAGTCAGGGATCTTTATTTTTGGAATACAATCTGGTCAGCAAAGTGGAGCAATTAAGGCTTTATTCCAATACTTTATCAACCAATGAAAATCAAGGGGATTATAAAGAAAACGAATTATGATTGACTTATGGGAACAACTTTATAATGGTTATTAATCTAACTGAAGTCAGAGAAAAAGAGAACCTCATTATAAACGCTCAGGAGCAGTTCAATCAATCAATCAATCAATGTTTATTTATATAGCCCAATATCACAAATGTTACATTTGTCTCAGTGGTCTTCACAGTGTGTACAGAATATCAGTTTGACAATAGACACCCTCTGTCCTTAGACCCTCACATCGTACAAGGAAAAACTTCCAGAGAAAACCCCACATTCATCACAGTTTAAGCATAATTGCTTGTAACGTGGATTACAGGCCTCGGTTTGATTCATAACAGTGATGAAGGTCATTTGTTACACATTATTATCCTTACAGCAGTTGCATGACATACAACTGAGCAATATACGTACTTTAAAATTCATGGAGGGAATGCAATGACCTTTCAGAGAGGCCTTGGCACAGCAGAGGGGTCAAAGAGAAGAGCAACAGCACCAACACATTGCGCTCCTTAAGAGGGTTATTTTATCCATTCAAGAGACGTAAGAGACATGATAGAACCATTTTAACCAACTGGGTAGCGCTTGGTGTGAGTAAACTGACCTGTATGTGTAAAATGAGTGAAGATCATGCTCAAAATAAAGATTTGATCTAGTAGGATGTAGGAGTATGATGTACATGCAGTATACGGTCATTCCATATTATCATTTTTGAGCAGAGTTTCATACTAAATGATCCAAAAAACTTGTGGCCCTAAAGCTCCAAATGCTCAATGCATGTTTTTGGGAGGTGGGGTCAGTGAGGGGGTGTGTCTGTGTTTTTGGAGCTGTACTTGAAGCTCAGGCAGCAGAGGCAGGCGAGCAGCCAGAGAGCGGACATGGACAAGTGGGACTCGTGTGGCAGCAGCCCAGCCTTCCCACAGCCACAACGGATGGTGAGACAGCAGCAGATACAGGGATAAAGAGAAGAGAGGGAGATGGTGATAGTGACTTAGAAAGGGGGTCCTTTACAAGAAAGACTGCTGTGAAGGGTGCTGATGTGCAATTTAGAATTGCATTACAACATCAGTTCTGTTTCAAGCATGAAGTTGCAAAGACTTTATGGTTGTGACCTGCAGTCAAATTACAACTGATTTACTTAGTTGACTATTGCATCTGTTTGTGTCTCTTCTTTTTTGGCTCCACAGCAAATACAGTTCAATGACCAGAAGCACGAATTCAACAAACGTCCCGCCAACACAGGTCGTCGCTCTTTGTCTAGATCCATCTCGCGGTCGTCTACTGACAGCTACAGTTCAGGTATGGCAACATGAAAATCACACACACGCTCTTAAGTCTGATCACATGTCTCTGATACATAAACTGAGCTGGTTCTGATCCCAAGACACGAGAACCGCAGGCCCCGGGGGATTATCATCGGTGCTTTCTCCTTCAGCTAAACGAAAAGTCTCCTGAAGAATTAAGTATCTTTAATTTGGTCCTCAAATGTCACTGCCAGAGTTTATACAGACTTCAAAGGCTCAGATAAAAACGATCAACTAGCTACAGACTGACTCCAAACACACAACAATCAACACTGGAAAACCAGAGCCGATTCATAACGTTTAAAGCTTTCCAACAAACCATGTTTTTTTCTCTTTCATACTTCAACTTACTGCTTCTGGACACAACATTATATCAGATTTTTTTTGATACAATTTATTTCAGCGTGCAGCGAGAGCTCTGAGGACGAGTCCTCTCCCCGAGACAAACTTCAGGCGACCTCAAAAGGCCTTTCTGACTTCTGCATCAAAAACATCCAGCAGGCTGAATTTGGACGCAGAGAAATAACGATCGCAGAGCAAGGTAAAGCTGTTCATGTCCTCACAAGTGGTAATGATTATACATTTATGTAGCAATCATCCAAGTACCAAATTGAGTGTGTCTTGTTGGCTGCTGTTATTCAGAAATGCCAGCGCTGATGATCCTGAGGAAAAGAGCAGGAGGAGAGAAACCTCTGGCAGGAGCCAAAGTGATGGGCTGCACACACATCACACCACAGACAGCGGTCAGTTCAACACACACACACACACACACACACACACACACACACACACACACACACACACACACACACACACACACACACACACACACATACACATACACACACACACACACACACACACACACACACACACACACACATACACATACACACACACACCATCCATCTGCTATTCGATCCTAGATTTAGCTTTTAATAAAGTTCCCTGTGTGAACTAAGATGAGGTCTGTCTGAGTAGAAAGATGAATGCTCAATACTACCACCAACTTTAAGTTCAGATTTGCCATTTCCTTTTTTCACTATATGTTTGTAATAGTTTTGACAGTAGGTTTTATAATATATCTATATCTGTTTTGCATTTACATTTCTCGTCCTTTGTTTATATTTGAACCATTTAGGATTTTTTATTTGCTGGTCTCTTGCAGGTGTTGATGGAGACTCTCTCTCGGTTGGGGGCTCAGTGTCGCTGGGCGGCCTGTAACATATTCTCCACTCAGAACGCTGTGGCTGCTGCTCTGGCTGAAGGAGGTACGACTGTCTGTGTCACCTCCTCCTCCAATCTGGCTCATCTGTTTTTATATCAATACAATTATTTTTTTAACTAAGTGATTGATACTCTCTTCATCTCAGGCATATCAGTGTTTGCGTGGAAAGGAGAATCAGAGGACGACTTCTGGTGGTGTATTGACCGGTGTGTCGGAGCTGAGAGCTGGCAGCCCAACATGGTACTGATATCAGCAGACAAGACTCGTTATTCATTTAAAGATTTAGAAGCGAAAGTTTGTAGATATGAAACTGAAATAAGTTCAACCCAGTGAAATTAGGTTTGGTGGCCTTTAAACCAGTGGTACTTGACAACTAAATTAAGAATCTACCCATTCTAAATGTTGTACAAAAAACAATGACTACAAAGATCTTTGTTGTGTAGTTATTTTAAAAATGCAATAAGAAAATTCTTAGTTAGGGATTTGTTTGTGTTAAAGTAATGTAATATTATTTTTTTTCTTATTTCCTTTACATAGTTTGCACAGTCTGCTCCAATAATGCATGTCAGACAAAAACTGTAGCAATTTCTCTCTATACATACAATTCAGTAAGGTGTATGAATATGAATTATACTGTACATTCTATATGGATTTGGCTATTCAAGGCTCTAAGTGTCAAGTACTCAAATGTATTTAACATTATCTGAGCTACAGCCCAATCTCCTACAGTCAGCACACTGAATAGATAGTAAAGTTGAAATGAAAGTATATTTTTTGTTTGGGTAAACTGTGCCTCTTATTGCTGTTACAAAGATCTTAATTGAGTTTAGCTGTGTTTCTCCCCCCACAGATCCTGGATGACGGAGGCGACCTAACCCACTGGATCCAGAAGAAGTACCCGAGCATTTTCAAGAAGTTGAAAGGCATCGTGGAGGAAAGTGTTACAGGAATCTATCGGTGGGTTTTACACAAAATATAGCATATGTTATATAAGCACAGGCGGAGCCCTCTACTGGACTCTCTGGGGTTTCTATCTTCTCCACATCACACATGTGTCTGCCCTCATATTTCAGGTTATACCAGCTGTCAAAGGCAGGCAGGCTGTGTGTCCCGGCCATGAACGTTAACGACTCGGTGACTAAGCAGAAATTTGACAACCTTTACTGCTGCAAGGAGTCCGTACTGGATGGGTAATACATTATTTTTTAAACGTATACAGATACGAGCACTTGTACAATTCAGAGCAGCAGCCTGACCGTGTTGAACTCTTCTGTCAGGTTGAAGAGAACCACTGACGTCATGTTTGGAGGAAAGCAGGTGGTGGTGTGCGGATATGGGGAGGTCAGTAAAGCTCCCAGCGCTGCTGTACATTGTGACTTACTGTACATTAAAGCAGCTCTACCATCCTCTTTTCTTCCTCCTTCAGGTTGGTAAAGGTTGCTGTGCTGCTCTGAAAGCGTTGGGTACTGTTGTCAACGTCACAGAAGCGGATCCCATTTGTGCCCTTCAGGCCTGGTATGAATAGAGGAAGCTTTTATCAGCACAGATGTCTGTTTGATTCTTTCAATGGCACATTGAAGCAAAACATCAAGACTTAAAAAAAAGTGTGACTCTCCCCCCCTCTCAGCATGGATGGCTTCAGAGTGATTAAACTGGGTGAAGTGGTCAGACAGGTGGACATGGTCATCACATGCACAGGTAATTGATGTTCTCTACAAACTAATATGAGCTCTCATATAAGTAACAAAACAGTTCCCGGTTGATATGTCTGTCTCTGCAGGCAATAAAAACGTGGTTGGTAGGGAACATATGGACAGAATGAAGAATGGCTGCATAGTCTGCAACATGGGACACTCCAACACTGAGATAGATTTGGTATGAACTCTGTGTGTTAATGAATGTGTTTTTCTGATGTATGATCCAGTTTTTATTGAAAAGTAATAGCTTCCTTCGACTGTATGTTATGTGACCCAATGATTCCAAGTCAATGCAGCATTGTAGTACTACACTGGATGAGTGGGACACACTGTTTTAAATCTAGTTACTGGGTCACATGACATGGAAGTTATTGAAAACGAAATAAATTATATATATTTTTTTACATTTATGTAAATCAATTTACAACACATCAGTAATCACAACAGGTGTGGCACAGTACATTTATTTCCAAACTATAATTACCACAAAGAGGAATTTCTTAACACACAAATGAACACTACAACCTTGTTTCTTACTTTATATTTAAAGTAAAAGCTGTAAATAGACAATAGTATGTAGCTCTGAGGTCTAGTGGAGGGGAAGTATACATCTGCATAAAATGAGAATACTCAAGTCAAGAACAATAAGCTTAAATATGTACTTGAGTAAATGTACTTTACTTTAAACTGTAAAAATGAAGCCTTTTTTGTGTGACTCATTCTCTTAGGTGAGTCTACGAACAGCGGAGCTGAGGTGGGAGCGTGTGAGGCCTCAGGTGGATCATGTTATCTGGCCTGATGGCAGGAGAATCGTCCTGCTGGCTGAGGTGATGATACTGTTATTATTTACACCAGCACCGAGAGATAACGTACGTAAACCTATTTATGTTAAAGAATAGCCCCACAGTTTACTCTGAAATAGGATCTGGGCCATCATGAAGGGGCTGCTGCACTAATGACCTCATGCACATTGTCCTGCTTACTACACAGACAATACAAAATACATGAATCACCTGACCTCAGAATTAATTTAAATGATTTCAAGTTAAAGTAACCCTAGCTTTTTTTAATGTTTAAAAGGTCGATATTGTTGTGTAAATGTATGTTTTTGTTTTACTTTTCTCACATAGCATCAAGCTATCCCTGTTAGTCAGCATTAAAGACAGCCCAGCGATTTTTCTTTCTATGCAATAACTCTAAGAAAAGGCATACTCGTGAAGTCTTTTCCACATCTCTATACTTACCTGCTGATATTCCTAGTTTATTTGAGCTACCCTAACCTTACAGGGAGCTGGCAATGTTTTCCTATCAATGTTTAACTAACTGGCCAGCTAATAGTTAGCCTAACCCATTCAAACATAAACCCATTCCTGCATAATACTTTGTTGAAATGCTAATGCTAAAGAAACAGAGAAGCTTAAAGGTCAAGAGAAATGCATAAACAGAAAAGAGTTAGACCAACCTGGGCTGACTGGAGTTTGGTTTTCTCAGACTGCCACAGCTCTTTAGCTCTCTGTTACAAGCTTAAGATAGCATGCACTTGTTAGAATGCAGTGGCTACCTTGCATTGGTTAGCATGCATTGGTTAAACTGGAACAAGACAAGTAGGCCTACTGCATATCAATCCAAGACCAAGACCCCCTAAAAAATGTATGCTTTTCTTTATCTGTGTTTAAAAGTGACCTTGGAAAAGTGGCCAATCATTCTAAATAAGGTGAAGCTAGTTAACTTTATATACATAAGCAAAGGTTTTTGACTTCTTAAATTGACTTTAAAGTCTTCCTTAGCATTACTATGGTGGCCCTGAAGGTCAAAAGCTTATGGTTGATGATTTGAGCACCAAGAACAGATTTACCTGATTGCTGTTAAAGTATTTGGTTCCTAACTGGATTAGGTCTGCAGCAGGAGAGACAGAAGGCTATTCTACATCACAGTAAGTCATTTTCTATTTTCTCTCAGGGCCGTTTGCTGAATCTGAGCTGCTCCACAGTGCCCTCTTTTGTCCTCTCCATCACTGCTACGACTCAGGTATAATAATATGTCTTATGTCATTTACATGAGAGATTTATTTAGAAAAATACTGGAACTCTTTCATTATTCCCTAATTGTATTGCAGAGGAAGAATCTGCTGCGCTGTTGCAATTCTTTACCCACAAAATAACCATTTGTAATGATATACCCCGTGTTACCTATTTTTCTAACATGTCACCATGGTGAACAAACAATAACAAATTGAGGAAATTCTTAATGACTTAAAATAAATTGTGGCCTTACTCACATGGACGATAAATGCACTTTTGCAAGTGTGAGACTGTTTATGCAAAAGTGTTTTAAAAGGTAAGTATTTAGCAAAAATGTGACTTTATACTGATTATACTGGACAAGTTCTGAGAGAGTACGTTTTTCTGTTGTTAAACGCGACCCCAATTCATGAAGTATTTTCTCAGTTTATGCATTTTCATTCACCATGCATATGTGTGGGAAAAACAACGTTTTCTACAAAAAAACAAAATAATACAGGGTGAGTAATTGATGTGCCAATGGTCTTTTTGTGGGGAAGTATTCCTTTAACTCTTGCTCTTTTACCTCAGGCTCTGGCTCTCATAGAGCTTTACAGTGCTCCAGAAGGACGTTACAAACAGGACGTCTACCTGCTGCCAAAGAAAATGGGCAAGTCCTCAGCTTGATTATCCAAATATATATATGATATTCAATATATATTTTCAATATCATCTTATTCAGACACAATAAAGCCTCTTCAAATTTCAGATGAATATGTGGCCAGTCTTCACCTGCCAACGTTTGATGCTCACCTCACAGAGCTGACTGATGAACAGGGCAAGTACCTAGGCATCAGCAAACATGGACCCTACAAACCCAACTACTACAAGTGAGGACATGAACACTTTTCTTACAATAATCAATACATCCATGTTATTGTTTCCATGTAACATAGATATGTTTCTTTCCTTAGGTACTAACCCTCTGGGTATAAAGCTATTGTGGATTTGATATTGGATGAAAACCTGCAGACAGAGCTCTGACGCCCTCTACAGTCCCACACTGACACAGACACGATGTTACACAAACTTTGACTGATTGTTTGTGTATGGGTTTTATTTATCAACTATTTCTGGTTATGAAAGTTAATAGTATCAAGAATGTAACCACATTGAATTATTAATTTAATGTTAACAAGTCATAATAGTAAAAAATACATACAAATTCTGAATGGGAATTATTTATTCAATTGTTTGAAAATATAATGTACTTACCGGAGCAGCAATCGTTAATGTATTTTTAGGAGACCACAAGTAGAATGATAAGAAATAATTGAACAGTAGTGTTAGTCATACTTGATGCTTTTCCCAATTGTGTAAAACCATTACAACAGCATGGACAGTATTTTAAGGTTAATGTCAATGTTCATTACAAAGACACAACCTCACAGGTTTTCAATGATTTATGGTCAAACCTACAGGGCGAAGAATGTAAAAACGTTGTTACAATACATTTTGAGACCTTTCATAGAAATTCATCTAAAAAATTATGTTATCAATAATTGTTCATTTCATTAAATAAATACATTTTAAATGTTAAATCTCGTCATTATTTAAATTTAGATTTGTATGTTTTTGTAACATATAAACATTGTTAACAATTACAAATAAAATGTTTTTGTACATACATCCCTGTGTCAAGTGTTGGAAAGTGAGCTAAACATTTAACGCCACCTTAAAGCCGAGCAGCAGGAACTACAGCATGCTGAAGAGCCTCGTAAAATGACTGTTTCCCCACCAGGGGGCGTAACAGCAATTTCGTCTTTGAGTGAGCATGAATGATGAGCATAATTACTTATGTTTGTGAAATTTTAAGGCTTCACTGTACATCCTGCTTAAGTATTTAGCACCAACACATGATCTATAGTAGAACCTCCTACTCAATAACACACCTCAATTAAGTTTACGCCTGGAAGCTAAATAAAAAGCTAAATCCAGGATCGTGTGTGTGTGTGTGTTCCTGGAGATAATCTGCAGGGCGAAGAGGTCAACTCACATTAACATGGTTTGTCTTTTTCACGAAAACATATTGTCATGCCAAAGCAGGTGAAACACTGCTAGGTGTAAAACATAGAACAAATTAAGTTGAAATCAAACAACTTTATTAATCCATGAAGTAAAAACAGATTTATGTCATAATGTACAAGCGACAAGAATGGAACGTACCTCAATTTTGTAGTTTCAGGTTGATTTTCTTACTGAAATCTGTCTGAACTTTGTTTCATACTGTTCAGTCACTTAAGTCCAAATGCAAAAAGAAGGAAACATATAGACATGGCAACTTTGTTTGTTGACAGGTATTATTTTCAAAACAATTTGTTTTAATTGCAAGCTTTTTGAGGACATTAAAAACTGTAATAGAGTATGTTAATATCAAATGCTAAACTATTTAGAATTGAACTATTTAGAATAAAGTTGATTGTTGGTGAAACAGTCCAAGGTCAAAGGTCATCTGCACCACAGGTTGTTTGTTGTTTGTGTCAACTTTGAACATTATTTGGTGGCAGCCAGCATCTATTCTGCACACCAACCAGATTCCCAACCAGTGTGAAGGTGTCCAGTGTCCTCGTATTTTATATCAGGCACTTACACGCAATGTTATATTTAAAGGTTGCTGCCCCTTTTTTTGGTTTGAATTCCGTTTTAACTTGCTTGAAAATTAATTGTGTTAAAATAAAAATAAACATTCTTATTCTTTTAATTTAGTTTGAATTAGCTTTTGGGCAAAGTGTTTGGTTCATACCAGATCCTCTGATACTCACAATTGCTTCACAAGCTGCCTGTGCTATTGTGTTTCATGCTAGACACTACGTAACTAATTATTCTCTAAATAAATCTAGCTGTTTTCCTCGATTGTTGCATCCTGTCTGTCTCTGATCATGAAGTCCTATAAATACCCCCTGTCCCTGGATTACTGTAATCCAGTCTCTCAGTTGTGTGTGTGTGTGTGTGTGTGTGTGTGTGATCCTTATTGAAGTAGTCACTGCATTTCTAATGCTGCAGTACAACAACACTCTTCTCTTATTATTCTAGTGATACATCTCAAGTGTCTCATTCCCTCATTTGTCTGCAGCGACAATACATTAATCAGGGTTTGTCATTTTGGCCAAAAGAGGAAGCAGTCTTTCATTCCCTTTAACATGTTCTCTGAAATATGAGCTTCTATGCTGTTAAACTGGAAGAAATTACACTCGCCATGATGGTTACATTTGGGTACAAAACCTTTAATAAAACACACAAAAGAAACAGAAGAACAGGGACAGAAGCAATTAAACAGCCATTAGTTTAATAGATGAGATCCATCAACTTCCACACCCAATCTAATCTAATGACACCACTCATTCTCCTGTGTGTGTGTGTGTGTGTGTGTGTGTGTGTGTGTGTGTGTGTGTGTGTGTGTGTGTGTGTGTGTGTGTGTGTGTGTGTGTGTGTGTGTGTGTGTCCTGGGGCAGAGCTGCTGATAATCCATTGGTTGGGGATGCATCTGAGAATAACAGATGGCATGTGCAGCCTATACGCTGTTGAACCTGCATGCTCAGTTTTAGCAACCAGGAAGTATTCTGGGTGTGTGTGTGTGATTGTGTGATTGTGTGTGTGTCCTTGCCTCCTCCATGTTAGGGATTCTCCCTAAAGAGCTTTGATGCCTCCCTGCATCACTACGTGGTACTAATCACTCGTACCAGCTGTCAGCGTGTCAGCCTCTCTTCTTCCACATAACCTCACTTCCTCTGCAGTCGGCCATAATGGACTCTCACAGCGTTTATATGAAACATGATGAACATATATCAGCTGCTGATGCCTCTGACTGCTCAGTCCCACCAAACGAGGTGCATTATCACTGATGTGATTTAGTATTTTTACTTCATCTATCGTCTTTTATCCCTTCCTTACGTTTTCGCTCTGGCCTAAACCTCTGTCAGTATTATCCTAGCTTTAAACCTAAAAATCCTCTAGTAGTTCTCAAGAATGTGGTAAATAAAAATTCCCACCCTATACTTAAATTACAGATTTGTATTCAGTTAAGGAATCATAGTTATAATCAGTGGAAATACTTTAGACGCAGATTGATGCCACTAAAACTTAGTCTAATAGAGTCAGAATTTAAGAAATGTGCCTCTATATAAATGAGACGAACCCGAGTTATAAAACGTATCATGTCCATTCCAGGTTAAATGGTTTGATGTAGCACTATCATCACTTATAAAGAACCTCAGCAGGGCCTCATCCCAGACCTTTGGTGCCTGAGCGGGATCGCCATTGATTTATTGACCGGGGCAGATAATAGTCAACCCAGTGCTTAATGGCCTGTGTATGGATTTATGAGTTATGTTCCTAATAGTTCAAAAAAATCATTTATTTCATACCTTTAGTGTTTTAGGTCAAAGATTACACTTTAATGTAATGATCAGCTAAGTATGGCCAAGACAACCCAGAGGAGACATAACGGGAAATCTGATGGAGGACAGAGCATTTAGCATTGTTCTTTACAGAAATGGTGAACCTGCTGCTTGTCCTTGTGGAGCTTCTATCATGTTCTGAGACTGCAAGCATGCTCAGGGGGGATGGTCAATTTGAACCCATCACTGCTCCGCCAGTCACTCACACACCCAACAACCTGCCACCCATGACAGCACTAACACATACTCCTAAACACACAGTAATCTTCCCCCTGGGATGATGGTGGACGGCAGGTCAAAGCTCTCAGTCAGTTGTTGGCAAGTCTAGAACCACCGGATCCTTCCAGCCCACCAGAGTGAGTTCTACCATTGCCAAACACTGTGGGAGAGTGCAGCCGTCACAGCCACCAGATCCGAGTGACAAGTAGGGTTCAGGTTACACAGGACAGCTCAGTCTCAGTGGTGGAGCACCAGCCTCCATGGTAACCAGTGATATCTGAGAGGGATATGCAATCGATCAGATCCATAGTTTATCCTCCTCTTCTCTCTGTCTTTCTCTTTCAAAGAAGAGACCTGGACATTTATGATCAGCTGATTGCCTATCTTGTCCTATATTGGCACCACACATGATTGCTCAAACGAAAAGAAACAAAGCAAAAATGTGCTAGTGCCAAAATGGGCAAAGAAGACGAGAAATGGCAGTTGGATAGGAGTAGCCCCAGTGTGGTTCAGTCTCTACTCTGTTTATGGCCCTATGGTAATTCACTGATTGTGTGCCGTGACAGTGAATTCTACCAGTGCCATACACAGAACAGGAGGAGATATAAGTGCAGTCCTGCCACGTTACTCAGAGCTGTCCTATAACCTGACCGTCTTTTCCTTCATTTGTCTGCAGCTTCCTCTTCAGACTCCCTGTAAAACCTATTGTGACATTTTTAAAGTGTGAGGGGTCTCGTCTCTACAGTCCTGTGCAGAGTGGGAATAAGCAGACAGTATCAGAATCAGCGGCCTCCTTCCCTCATCTCTGTTTCAGGGAGTCAGACCATCTGCTGGGAGAGACAGGCCTGTAGAGGTGCTCGTCACCCAGTTTAGAAAATCTCCACACAAATTAGCTTGCATTTTATCCTTCTCAAAGTTATATTATCGTTAGCTTTTGGGACATATCTGGCCTCCTTGAGATCCCTCCTGATGCAGGTGGAAGAGCAGTCTGCTCCGATTGATTCTGGCTGTAGGGAATGATGTGCTAAGTGATTTTTGAGATGCTCCAAATGGGTCCCAAAGCAGGGCTCATCTTCCCGTTTCCGGGAGAGATCAATAGAGTAAAAAAAAGAGAGAGAGAGGGAGGGCGAGGGAGAGGGAATAACAGACATCTCCTCATGCCTCACATCTTATTTGCTAATACTGAATAATAGTCACAAATAACAATATTATTATGAACGTATTTCCCGTTAGATAATCAATGTTGCTGTGGAGGATGATGATATGTTTTACTCTGTGTTTGTATCTTTATAATGAAATGTAAAGCATAGCCAGAAGCTTTAAAAAAAACACCATCATTATTATTTCAAAGATAATCTGATTCTTTTAGAGTTGGTCTGATTCTTACCTTATAAAAATTATCCATCCTCACTGCATGCATTTACAGTTTAGTTAAAAGAAAGACAAGAATAAACCTTTTTGGTGGTCTTCATCTGGAGTGACTGGGCAGGACCTTTTCGTCTGGTACTTCTTCAGTCCGTACCAGTGTGTCAGGTAACTCTCCGTGTCTCTCTCTCTCCGTCCCTCACTGCTTGTTTGGGCTGTATGGAAGGAGATTTTAGTAGACAGGTAATAAGTAGCTAAGCATCTTAACCCACTGGCGGTATAGTAATCCACGCTGCCCTCCTCCCGCTCCTTCTGCTGCTTCTGAACGCAGGCCTACAGCACATTTCCTATGCGCATTTTACGCACAGGACGCGCACTGCAGTGGCTGTAATGGTAATGTAACCAAAGATAATGTGGTGTTGTTCAAACAGAAACAGGATCATCGTGAAATTACAATAAAGTACCAAAGTTATAATGAAACAATACAAGTCTGAAATAACGCAGATTGATGCCACTTATAAAACTTAGTCTAATTAAAATCCAAGATATAGGCCTACGA